ATCCTCTCACCCTCCTTCTCTCTCTCTCTCCATCCCTACCTTGCTTTGCCACAGTTTTCATTCACTTCTCCACCCCGTTTACCTTTCAACTTTCTTTCTCTTTCATGTACCTTTACACCCCATCTTCTTCTCCTCCCTAAACGCCCTCCCTCACTTCCTCTCTGCCATACTTTATTTCCTCATCCTTCTCTCCCCCCTCCGTTAACCTTTTCTCCCCTTCATTTTTACCTCTTCTTTTCATCATCTCCTCATGCCTCCTCTCCCTGCCTCTCCTGTTTACTACCTCCCCCCTTACCTCACCTTATGCCCAGTGTTTGCAGCATCACGTCGTCACCTCCTCACCTATTACCTACACAACCAGCCTCTCCTCTGTGACAATTTAAATAGTTTAAAAGTAACTAACTATATAGAGAGAAAGACGGACAGATAGATAGATAGATAGATAGATAGATAGATAGATAGATAGACAGACATTATTAATCATGATGAATTGTGACAACTATCCTACCAGCTGTGATTAATCATATTAAACATTAGTAAAGATTCTGACAGCACTCAAATATATTCACTTCCGAATAATCCAAGCTGCCTAACTGCAAAACATATCAAAAGTTATTCATTTGAGATCAAATAAATAGTTGTTTCTAACAGCAATATAGGCAGATATGACCCTGAGGCGACCTTGCCACCATTCCAGCTGTGGGAGATGTGTACTGCAGGTATCTTTCTTTCATAAAATGCCCTGCCTGTTTACTTTTACTCCAACTTCTTCACCTCTCTCTCTCTCTCTCTCTCTCTCTCTCCACCCTTCCTCCATATTCCTCTGCTCCCTTCACCTTTCCTGCCTCGTCTCCTCTTCACTGTACATCCCCATGAGAAAACATGTAAATGAGGTCAGAACATCAGCCACATCGCTCACATGTTGGCGTAGGTAGACACGGGGCCACATACATGGACTAAATAAACACGTCAGCCTGCCGTGGTGTGTCTGTATGTGTGAGCATGCGTATTCTCTGTGGGGTTGCATTCCTGTCTTAATAGAGAGAATTTCCTCCTCTAAGCTGTACACTAGTGAACCGAACGCTCCAATTACACAACCGTCTTCACCCCAATACCTTTTGACATCCTGAAAATTATTCACAGCCTAATTAATTTTAGAATTTCGTGCCATTTCTTGGCCTCGGTCTTGCTTTCTTTATTACACTTTTTCATTCCTTCTCTCTTTATTACCACACGCAGTGGAAACAGATGAGGGAGAGTGGTGGAGGAGGAGGGAGAGGGGAGGCGGCGAGAAGAGGTTTTAGTTTCTTTGTGTAACGTTAAGGCTTCAGCTCTTCGGTAGCTGCTGCTGACTGGACGTCTTAAAACTTTACTGCCGCTACACACACACACACACATACATATACACATAGGAGGCGCGAGTGGACACACAAGTGAAGAAATAAATCCCTTTGCCTTCAGTGTGTGTGCATGCGTGTTTGTGTGGGGAGAAAGAGATAGAAGAGTAAATGAAATGGGAAAAATGGGAGGAGATAATGGGACGAGTTGTAGTTAGGAGTGGAGGATTGTGGGAGTTTTTTGAATTAAAAAGAAAAACACAGTAAAAACGAATGATACAAGCTCAACATGAACCACAAGTCAGTTGAAGGATTTTCAGCTTTTGTGTCCAAAAAGACAACAACAAAGAAAAACGTTGATTTGTCCTTTGTGTTGCGTAACACAAAGGACAAATCAACGTTGTTTTTTTGTTGTTGTTGTCTTTGGGCTGGAGTACAGCAGTAGACGACAGCAGTAACGAAGCCAGAGAAAAGGAATCCTGCAGGAATCCATTTCAGTCGCATTCCTCCTGATGTAGAGCTGAGAGCAGAGACAGAAAGCAACAGGCTACTGGAGATCAGCACACACACATGCGCGCACACCATTCACACACACACACGCACAGGCACACACATGTCTGAGCTCCTGTTTCTATTGAAACCAAGACACACAAATATTGTTTCCTTGTCGCTGTAATGCATTTCCAACCTTCCATTTCTCTAACCTCTAACCTTGGAGACGCAGTCGTGGTCTTTCACAAAATAACAAGTACAGTAATACATTCACTGTTTCCAACGGCTGCTAAAAATGGGCGATTAACCAATGACACTGTGAAGATTCCTCAGGAGGGCTTAATGTTCTGCTCGAGCTCTGCTATTTTATAGTGCCGTACACCTCCATCAGTGTTATATATTTTGTCCAAACGGAACCAAGAGAATTTTATAACGACAACCAGGGAAAAAAGTTTAAATTTTAAATGTTCAGTCAGTCAGGTTCAGCTAAGCTTATCTTGTGAACGTCACATCTAACTTCTTCAGCCACCTAGTGGTGGAGGTGGTGGTCACAGCATCTTAGCCCCCCACACCCACAACCCCCCACCTTTCATGTCACGTCCATGACTATATCTATGGACTCAAGTTTACTGGATTACTTGCAAATACAAAAGAAAGCAGGGGGGAGTGGGGGGGGGCAGCTTCCTCGGAGCCAATAAAATTCACTTCAGACTGTGACTGTTTTAAATATTAAAAGCATGCGCACAAACACACATACACATTCTTAAGACAATAACAGCCCCTACTGGGGAGGAAACATATAACAGGACTTGACTGTGACATGCATGTAGAAACCCACTCGCAGAGGGGTCTCAGAAGCCGCGCGCACACACACACACACACACACATTGTTAGTAAACTGAATAAATTGGAGATGCCTTTCACACTTGCATGCATTCACAGACACACAGACAGATATGCAGATGCACATATGAGCATCTGTGTGTGTGTGTGTGTGTGTGTGTGTACACAATTCATACTGCAGGACCACTTTAGGTTTCATCATCTTCTTCTCCCCCCTTTTTTGCTTTCTTTCTCTGGAGAGCCAGAGGAGGAGTGAGGAGGAGGAGGGGAGGGGGGGTGTCTTATTCCCTCTCTTTTGTTGCTGCTGGGGAGACAGAGTGTGTGAGAGAGGGAGCGCATATCCATACAGTGCTGGCCTCTCTCTCTCTCTCTCTCCAACACCATTCACACCCACTCACTGCTCCCTCGTGCACACACACAAACACATAGAGAGAGAGAGAAAGATACAACATCAAAGTGCCGACACCAACCAAGGATTACTTCAACCACACACTGGCCCCTCTATCCAGGTCTGTGCTCCTCTGCTGGCTGAAACACTCCCCTCTCCCCCGGCCACACTTGGTACAGCCCAAACATTCCTGCCAAGTAGCTTTCACACATGGAGGGGAAGCTTGTCTCAAGCAATTGCTGACAAGCTACAAACAAGGCAGCCTCCCATTCCCTCCCTCTCTCTCTCTCTCGCTCTCGCCTTCTCTCTTTCTCTTGCCCTCACTCCAGGTTGCCCTCCCTTCCTTACCCCTCCTCTCTCTCCCCTGTCTTTCTCTCTCTCTCTATCTGAGAATGTGGGGGCCCCACTAAGCATAAATTGTCAGCTGTTCCTGGGCGTACTCTCCATGGCTCCCTAAACTCACATAAGCCCACATATGCGGTGGCTGCTGGGACAAGGGTAACTCAAGTAAGCCTCCACGCTGGTTGTG